GGCACCGTACAAATGAATCGCTGCGTGTACTGGTGTGGTTCAGTGCTTAGCCCTGAGTCACAACAACCAGCTTCTGCCTCCAGCTGTGTCACTGCTGTGTGGTGTGACCTTGGCGTAGGCTGTAAGCTGACTGTGCAGGGATTGCATCTTCTTGATTAATAGCCTTGCTCAGAGTTATATCCCCTTGGTCTGACAACACAAGTAAGTCTTTATTACCCCAGTAGCAGCATGGAGTCCTGGCTCAGAAAAGGAGCACAATCCATTCCTGGCTTTGGAACCATCAGCACAATTAATTATATTTGGATTGCAGTGTAAAAATTGCCAGTAAGGCAGAGACGCTCAGGCCTACAAACATTGTGTGAGTTTAATTAAAAGGATGATTTTAAGCAGCTTTGGGCACAGATGCTTTATACTCCTCTATTGGTTTGTATCACTGCCTCAATGATGAATTGTCAAGAAGTTCAAATGAAATGAGCTTTCATTCTGCGTGGCGCAAAGCTCTCAAAGGGGGAGAGGTAGCTGCTTCTGAAGGAGGGTTCAGTAGCGTGTAAAATAAGGGCGAAAAGAGTCAAGTTTCTCCCTTCACCAAGCGATCGTCCGTGCGGAGGACAGCTGTGCTCCAGCAATGCATCCAAGCGCTGCTGTCTGCATCCAAAGGGATTCTTGTGAGCCTGTACCTAGAAGGTGGCTAAGCCCTTGGCTGGGCTGGGGCAAGCAAGCTCAGCGTTTTGCTGGATGGGGCCCTGGCTTTTGCAGCATTTGAGCGTGTTGAAGGAAGCACTGTGGGTATTCTCTTGGCCTCCACATTAAGCTCTCGAATTTTCCCAGAGAAGTGGGCAGAGCAAAATACAGTCCCAGAAAAGGAGCAATTAATTAAACAGCTCTGTGCCTTCTTCTGGTGTCGACCCTGGCAGCGCCTGTGAACTGCATCAATGCACTTGGGCTTGCTGTCCAGAGCTCTGATCTGGGTGAAGCGAACTGCAAAGGGACTCGTTTCAAAGCCTCTCTTGTGTTCTTCGGTAGCACGTACAAGGACAGCGTTACAGACATTACTGCTCTGCCTGTAATGGCTAAAGAAAAGGACTTGACAGATTATTGGGCTTGCTTCCCTGCCCCCCCCCCCCCCATGTGTGTGCCTTTGTTGGAGATGAGGAATTAGCCCTACTGATTTTTTTGTCCTTTTTTTTTTAAAGACTCTTGAGTGCCCACAACCCCAACTGTGACCTAGGCACTTTTGGAGACTTAGGCAGAATTTTCAAGTTATTTTTAAATGCTGGAAGTCTTTTAGAGGTCTGGGAATGTTAAATGATTGATTATTTGCATCGTAGAGGATAGGAGTCACAGCCCTGGACTGAGACTCCATTGTGCTAGGTGCTGAATGCACACAGAACAAAATGACTGGTTTTGCCCTTGGTACCATGAAATTGGAGCGGAGTCAGCTCCCATCTCTCTTTTCAGATATATTTATACATGCTCAGTGTGATACAGCAGTGTGTCAAAACACAGATGTGGTTTTTAATAGCAGATGAAGTACAAATAAAGGTTGGATTTATGTAGCATGTATTTGCTTAATGTCTTGAATGGCAGAACACAGTAAACAGTATGTGGATGCCTGGATGAAAAATAATTGTTCATGTTTGGAGTTGATAACAGTGACTATATGTATTTTTAGCTGTGTTTCTCTGTTATGTCCAGGCCTCTGGTCAGTGCTGCATTGCCGTTACCAGATGACTTGTATTTACTGTGCTCCTTTGATTGCTTTGCCAGCATGACATCTGGCTAGTTTCCCTTTGCCAGGGTCCCAGCATCGTGGTGAAGTTCTCACAGTTATTTGTGTCTATCTTTTCCCTTTACAATTAGCCTGAGAAATGACTGATTCGTCCCCTCCCTGCAGATGTAGGTTTATTTTGGGGTTTGGGTTTGGTGGTTTTTGGTTTGGGTTTTTTTTTTTTTTTTTTTTCCCTTCTTCCAAGGGGCAGGCAGGCAAATTCAGCCCTACACCAGTGATGTTAGGTTCTCTACAGGCTACCAGAAGGCCCTTACTCCTGCTGTTGTTGAGCACCTTGGGACAGTCCATGAAGTTGCAGTGCTGATGGTTTGTTTTGTAAACGTAGGTGGTGCTCAGTGTACAAGTTAGAGAAGGTTGGTCTGGGCAGGATGCCTACAACCGAGAAAAGACTGGAATCTGTTCCTGTGGGAGTTGTTCTGCACTTGTCCTCCCCAAAAGCTCTGTCTCGGGCACAGAGAGGCTTTATTCTTGCAACACAAAATTGATCTGTTACCGTGAAGTGTTTGACCATGGTTGACATCTTGGAGCAATAAGGATTTTTTTTTTTAATTATTTTTAGGTATCTTGCAGCCAGCAGGCCCCTTGGAAGATAAGTATCTAGTCGTCATGCTTGGGCTGCTGTTCAGTAGGAAATAAGTACAGTTCAAGGTGCTCATAGTAGCCTGCATTGCTGGAGACTGTCATCTGCCGCAGTAGCCTACAGTAAGTGAAGTGTCAGTGCCTATGCCTGCACAGCAGCTGAGAAATCTGTGTCTCACTGAAGCCAGACTGCTGCTCTGTGGGACAGGATCTCCTGCTAGCCAGCTGGTATCATGTTTTAGTTTTAAGTGTTGCTTTTTGAAGACTTCATGCCAGGGAGAAATTAGAGGCCTGCCCATCAAACCCAGCAGTCCTGGGTGGGTACTTCAGCAATTGCGAGCTTTGCAAAATATTTGTGCCTTGTGTCCACTCCTGGCCCAGTCACAACCTGAACTTGTGACTAAACTGATTTGTTTAGGGAAAATTCTTTCTTTAACTGAAGAGCCCCAAATTGAAATATTTTAACAAAAGCCTGAAACATGGGCACAGGTAGCACAAGAACCTACGTCTCCTGTTTCCCACTGCAGGCCAACCTCCATGGCCTGGCAAGCAAAAGTTTTTGACCAGTTCTGCCTTAAACATTGAACAATTTTGGCCGAGTGACTGGTTGTGTCATATTTGTTGTTTGTATTGCTATAGCAGTTGAGGCTCTTACGCTTTGGATCCAAGACCTTGTTGTGCCAGGTACTGTAGGAACATGGAAAAAAAAAAACCAAAAAGGCCTTGTGAGGAAGAACATGTGTTTCTTTATAACCCAAGACAACAGATGGCTACAGATGGGGGAGCACAAGGAACTGATGAGATAATACTGACCTGTGCAGTGAGTAATAGTCTTGGTACATCACTTATCTAAACATTGCTGAGGTTTTATAGACACCAGGGAAGGGCAGCTTGAAGGATGATCAAGTGACGGCAGAAGTTTACAGTAATATATACAGCAAGCGAGAAAGGCAGCAGAGGGAAAAGAGGCATGCTGAAAATGATACTTGAGGAAAGATGTTTGCTGCAAAATCTGGTTAGCATCGTGGATGCTGTGGTCATCTACAAGAGAGTGCTGCAGGTACGGGAGCAAAGTAGAAACAGAAAGTGTATTTGCTGGAGCAAGGAAAGCAGAGCCAGTGGGGAAAAGAAACCTACAGGCAGGCTATGTATTCAGAGTCTTGACCTGGAACTTTCTTCTGGTGCGTTTACTACTGGCAATTCAAGGAAAAAGAAAGTGCTGTTTCTCTGGATCGTAACCTTTAACCGTCATGTGGCATGAGGGAACAGATGAGTGAAGCAGAATGAGTGTGTTCCTTTATTTGCAGTGCAGATGCCTCCATAAGGGGCAAAGGAAGAACACTGCTTTTTGTAGCGTTGCTTGTTTGAACTTCAGTCTAACAAAATTAGCCTGTGCAGAAACTTCAGCGAACATCCTCTTTGAGTTGAAAGCTTGCAGAGCAAGATGCAAGTCAAATGCCAACCACAGCAATTAGCACGCATCCTTTCATGAGTGTTAAACTGTGCTTAATCTCTAGTGATCGGGTTCTTTTTCTCCTACACACTGTCTACAGCTAAAAATAATGTCAAGTTAAAGATGTACCAAAGATAACAGCTGCACATGGTTTTTCTGAAGCAGCTCGCTCTCTCCCTGATCATGGTTTGATTCCCAGGGAGCATGGGAGGAAACAGCTATCACGGCATCTGTTTGGGAAGCTCTCACTGGTTTGAGGATGTCCAGGAGCCCACAGTGTTAAAGGTATTCCTTGGAGTGCAGCTTCCCCACGGTAAAAATAAAACTTTTAAAGATGTGTTGGTGTTTGATAGGAAGGTTTCTTATGAAGGGAGTGGAGAATCAAGAAGGCTTTTCTGTCCTGCGTAACGCAGCATGACGTGACTGCAGAACAAGAGAGATTGTATTTAAATAGACTGCCCAGAAGGTTGCTGGAGAAATAGCTTCATAATAGGAAATGCACTGGCTGCTTCAGCATCAAATGATAGCCCAGGTGTGTTCTCTGCACTAGGGACCACTTTTAGCTAAACCATTTTTAGCTGCGTGGAAGGAGCCCAGTTCGTTATCTCGAAGGCGATAAACTTTGGTGTTGCCACTAGAGGGGGACTGCAGGCTGTACGCTGTACCTCCATCCTGCTGGCCTTCGCCAGCCCACTCTGTGCCATCACCAGCCCAGCAACTCCAGCAGCAGGACCCTCTCTGCTCTGTTGGGCTCTGAGGTGTCACAGCATCCATAAAGGTCAGACCTTGCAGCCAAACAAATGTGAAGGGATGTGGACAAGGGGAGCCTGACTGGTGCGATGTCCGGGTGAACCGGTGATCTGGTTCTGCAGAATGTCTTTTTTTTATTCCCACACAGCTGCAAAAAGTGTCCTGAGCATGAATGGTATTCAGTGAAAGCTGAACAGGGTTTGTGCAACCTTGCTGAGTCGTGGAGAGGTGTGAATAACCCCTCTTAATGCCTGGCTGAAGCAATGTAATAGCAGCATGCCCAACAGTGCCATTAAACTGGTTAAAGATGAAATGGAAACGTGAATGCTTCTAGATCCTGGGACAAAAGAGAGCTTGTGGATGAGGCTTCAATATAACAGAATTGCTTGAGTGCTGGGCCTGACCTACCTGTTTCTTGTTGCCTTGCAGGGCTTTTACCCACGTGTTTACCTTTGGCCCGACATTTCGAGCAGAAAACTCGCAGAGTCGCCGGCACCTGTCGGAGTTCTATATGGTGGAGGCTGAACTATCCTTCACAGAAAGCCTCCAAGACATCATGCAGGTGGGCACTCCAAATGTTTATGTAGGACCAGTGCCAGAACTTCCTCCTCCTCCCTGAGCTGTGCTCCCTGCCCTCAACTGAGGTTGCAGCTCCTCTCACCCTGTGTGAGATGGGTAGAGGTTGCACAGGGACTTTCCAAGGATCAGGGTTTGCTCAGCAGAGGTAAGGTGACAGAGGGGTTTTGGGAGGGAAGATATAGGTGCCGACACAGCCCCCATCTGAATGGGAGGCTGTACAGTTGCTGTATTGTCAGGAAATGTGTAAATGTGCCTGACTGGTGCTAATGACAGTGGCACTCTCCCCTTCAAAACCTTCAGCATCTCTCCAGTGAATCTGAGCAGTATTTATGCAGTGTGTCCCTTGGTGTGCGCTCTGAAGAGCTCCTTGAAACCTGCATTGAAATCTCCAGCAGAAACAACAGTTCCTGGCAAACGCTGTTCACTGTGGCTTTAGCAGAAGACTGAAGTCCTTAGTCAGCTAGCTTTTGATTTTTCAGGATTGACCTCTCAGTTGCAGTTTAACCACGTGATGGGTGCTAATGCATCTTACGAGTCTCGGCATAAGCCAGCTTATGCCCAGTAGGACTTGTGAGTAAACATCCACACACGCTCTCATATATCAGATAAGCTCCTTGGAAAGCTGTTGGAGAAATAGCCTTAAAAAGAAAACGACCTGAGGCACTCGCTACAGATGTATAAAATAACATGCAGGTGGTGGTTTCTTCAGCCTGGATCATATACAGTCTGCTGAGTCAGTATGGCCTGACAGCAGAGCTGACATCTCTCCCTTGTGTGTGCTGCTTCTGCATCTTGGATGTCTGGATGGCACTGGGATGTGCGGAGTGACCTGTTGGGAATCTGTGTGCTCCATCATTGATAGCATCCTGCTTTTTCTTTTCTCTCTCCTTTTCTCCAGAACAACTTTGTGTATTCTTAGAGCACAGCATATGTGTATGTTTATGCCTTACTTCCTGACCACCCCACCCCCCCCCGCCCCATTCCTCTAGGTAGTAGTCAGGAGCTGATTGAAATCTTCACTGCTTTTATCTAGTAAAATAAGCAGGGTCTTCTGTTAAGTGGTGTTTGAGCCCTTGAGCACAGTATGAACATATCTGTACTCTTGTGCCGAGAACCCTAATTTCTTGGCTTTTGAAGTACAGACAGCCAGTTCAGACAATTCAGAGAATTAGGTTTGAGAACTGTTCTGGAATGTGTAGCGCTTTTATTTGTAAGGAAAGGAGGAACTTCTCCTGTTGGCTTGGCTTTTGTTGTTGCTAAACATCTTGTGAAGCCTCAGCTTGTGCTCTCCTCTCTCACTTCTTTCCTCTGTCCCAAAGTCTTTG